AAAGGATTAAATGCAAATATAGCAGCATAGCACTGACAGCATATTTAACTGCCAGTGCTGTGTGCGTCTCTGGAATAAGAGAAAGTAGTCACAGATACCGACATCATATTTCTGAGACCCTGTTGTCACCTCCTCCTCGTGCCACCATCAGTTCCGAGAACAAAGGAGGAGCATTTTAGTGGTAGATCATCTAAATGGCTGTAACGGCATCAAATGGCAACTTCTGGAGGCCAAAGAAATCAAGCTAAAGTGAAAGTGTTTAAAACTGGAGAAAAATGCAGTTTTAGCTTCTATGTATAGTTCGCTCTTTTGTAACAACTGGACCACTGGTGATTTGTTTTATATGATGTATTTGGGGACTGGTAAGGCTTAAAATTAGAGGCTTGGCTGCTTTGAAATGTCTCCTGGTATTCAGTGTAAAATGGCACAGCCCAGATTATACAGAGTATTTACTATAGTTTTTTTAAGGTTCTGTTCTTTAGTGTGTTCGATTTAACTGAGAAAAATACTACTAACCACTTATAGGCAGGGTCGTGGCTTTGTTCCAGTTTACAGACCTGCTATAATTTCAGGTATAATTTCAGAAATTATAAGACTTTAGAGTTCAGTTCCATTATGTGTTAACAGGTGAAGACTTTGTCATGCTTTTGAAATCTACAAATCTAAATTGCTTAGTGAAAGATGCCTTTTACACAGTTGTTTAGCAGTTCCAAAATTAGGGAGCTGATTTAAAGCAACTTATTTTTGCAGTCATTGCTTTTATATGACTGTTGCTTGATCTTCAATCTGGAATACAGACTTCAAGCAAACATAAAATGTGCTGCATTTTAAAAAGGCGTTTTTGTTCTCCTTACTCCTATTACACTGGTGGGCGTTGATGTTAAACAAGGAACTTGGGCTTCAGACTTTTCTAGGCTTTCAGTTTGCACTGGTTTCTTCTGCTCATGGCTGATACCAGTGAGAGACACTATGGTCATTTCAGGCACACAGCTCTGGCTGTGAGCACAGGTGCCCCATGCACCCACTGTTCTTATGTTTGAACCAATCAGGAGAAAGCTAGCTTAATGGAGAGGAAGGGGAAATAAAACAGCTTGCTTCAGGCAGAGGATAAACTGAAGGGCTTCACCACAGATCAGTATGAGATCAACAAGGATTATTTTGAACTGTGAAACAGCAAAGCTACACTAGTATAGTCCAATGATACAAATGTGAAATTGTGAATGAGCATACCAGAGCTCCCTCACAGACGCTAGAAAGAATGTGGTGGTAAACATACACAAAGATTAATCCTTTTTTAACAATATTTCTGCATGATAAATAAGTAAAGCAATTCTCAGATCTGTTCCAACTTTTGATACAGTTATATTTTAAAGATATAACTACCATACTTTAAACAGAATCACCGAATCCTGTGCTTGGCAATGGCTTGTTTTTAAGATGGTAATACCGCAAAAAGTCATTGCTACCTGATTATGCCGCATAATTTGTAAAAACCATCATATGGCAATATTGAGAGGAGAGACTACCAAAGAGGCCTTGGTTCCACCACTATACATTTATGGCTCAGAGCCATGAGCTTTCCTTGTCATGCTGTGGGCCCAATCTGTATCCTGTGCTGACTAAGCCCTTCACTTTTACATCTCTGTGTTCTAACCAAACCTGGAAACCATATTTACTGACTGTGAAGAGCAAGTGAAAAGAAAGCAATTATTTAACACAAAGTCAGTCGCCTCAATTTGCATAAATGTATGATCCCCCCTCGTCATGAAAATGCAAAACCTCGAGCATTTTGTATGCATTAGTAACACAGTGTTTCAGGCGCTTGCAAAGAGACAAACAACTACTTGGGTTATGTAACAGTTCTGTCACACATGAACATTTTGGAAAGCTGTGCTCATCACACTGGACGGTTATAATCGTGTTTTGCTTTTTTTTTTTTTTTTTTTTTTTTGGGGGGGGGGTTCTTGTTGTTGCCATTCGGTAAACCTGAAAACTGCAGCACCACACGGACATGTGTGCCTCTACCAGTGCCAGATTGGTGCTGGCTGGTTTCATTACAACGTCACAGCAGGTAAAGAGGGAAGATCATGGCATTGCCCCGAGAAAGAGAGAGTGAGAGAGACCGAGAGAAAGGGGGGAGAGGTGCAGAAACACAGAAATAGAGGAGAGGGACTGTTAGCTTGGTTAAGTGGATTATGTGATGTGGAGGGAGGGAGGGGCTCTGTCCTCTATCGTTGCTGCTGCTTCTGCACTGGTCAAATACGGCTCGAATCAAAGCAAAACAAAAGTATTTACTTACACAACAGTATTTAAATGTTGGATTTTCGCAGGGCTATGAGTGTACCCATGGCTGGGCTTTAAGTACTTCTTGCCAGTAATTGTTTGACTTGTGTGCCAGATGGTGAGCTTTATACAGAAAGACACAAGAACTACTATTACATAAACACTTCAGTATATGCAAATGCTGCAAAACGTAGTCACAGAGTGAGATTTCGTTTGAGTTTGTGGCTTTTTTTTTTTAGAGAACAGAGAACTGTTTTTCGTTTGTTTTTTTTTTAACATGATTGCTCATAAACTTGAGAAACAATGTGTATTTATTGAACATGCACTTAATGCTGATTTATATTATATGACATTTTCTTCTGATAATAATCATAGATTAATACTGACAGTGGTTAAAAAAATAATTTCCCAGTATTTATCCAGACAAAGACGTTTGTTATGTTAGCAACTTTTTTAAGGCTGTCCGTAGCTAGCCTACCTTGCACTTTAGGCTAATTAGCAAAAAACAGCAGCATGCTAGCACATTAATCTTGACAGTGCTATAAATGCTAATGCTGGATACTTGGTTCACCATATTGGTGTACTGGCATTAGAGCAGGGCGATTTGAACAAAAATATTTATCACGATATACATTTCAAAATTTGCAATAACGATAAAACTGACGATATAATTGACACTAGACAAAATACTTTACAACTCCACAACTTTATTAGTGCAAAAAAAACCAAAACCCATCAATGTATTTTCACTTAAACAAGCAGCTTTTTTAAGTGCATTAAAGTTATATAAAAAATTAACAGTGCAAATTCCTTGCTGACAGTTTAACCAAAGGGCATTTCCAGTGGAAATTGGCAGACATATCCTCAGCATAACCATGTATAATATCCACAAAATTTAAGAGGTTATACACACACAATACGGTAATATTATGTTGAAGCACAGTACGTATCACTCCGCGAGGCTCCTGCCTACGATAGCCGTAATGCTCCAACAATCCATCAAGCGGTGCGGCTTCGTAGCTTAGCAAAGTCGTACTGAAACATTTGACAGATTTTCGAGCGCCGTGTACGACATAAAATCGTTTCGAGGTCAGTAAACACAAGCTGACTTCATACATAAGGCACACGGGATCATAAGGGGCACTGTCGATTTTCAGAAAAATCAAAGGATTGATTTTAAGTGTGCCGTATTTTCCAAAAAACACGGTAATAACAACGGCCCGTTAGCACTATTTTTGGTAGAGCATCCAAAAATAGTGTTTTGTTGTGTATCTGACGGATGAAAGCCAAACCAATTCCACACCACTGAAGTTGCAGCATTTTTACAAACCAATTATGGTTCTTCCGTTTCATTTAATGATCCGCTTTCGCTCTTCTCATTCTGCATCGCCGCCTTGTGATTATGTAAACAAAGGCACTACGCATGCGCGTTTTAACCATATTCTATTGCGATATTTCATTTTCCTATCGTTGCCCAACATTATACCGGTATTACCGTGAACGGTATGATATAGCCCAGCCCTAACTGGCATACTGACATTTTCTACTTAGCTTAAACTAGAGCTTATTCCAGTTGTTAAAAACTAGCCTATAGTTATGAGTACAGTGTCTGATTTGGGCTAAACTCAAAATTGGACTAAAAGTAGATAAATCACAGAAAACAAAACTCAGAAAACAATAAGGGTTTACTAGTACTAATATAGGCCTAGCAAATGGACCTCCAGTTCAAATAAAATTAAGACTAAATTTACTCAACACCAATCATGCAGCAGGAAATGTTGACATACAGTGCACCTACAAAAGGAGGAGTAAAAGCTAGTGAAATATAATCACTGTACCACCAAAATCTAGTGATCATGCCAGACTGTGTATGCTGAAACAAACACAAACTTAGATTGTATTTGATTGAACAAGTATGCATTATAAATTCATCTTATTTGTAAGACAGAGTATGTGATATATTTTAACAGCAAACTTGATCTACTAATATAGTTAAAGAACTTCAAAAACTTTGCATACTGCAGTGCAATCCTAGAGATAAAGTTCTTTTTGATTGCATTTGGGTAATTGCAAAATGCCTGTTAGACTAACAAATAAGCACTGACCTTAGAGGATAGAACAATAAAGTGTTACTTAAAGCATGTGTTTCCATTTCCTTCGCCTATGGAGGATAACAGAAGAGCTGCATTCAACTACAGCACGTTGAGAGAAAACAGCCACTGGAACAGAGCTGACATTAATTCACTGTGTTTTAACAGCCTAAGTGTCACCCCATTGGAATTTAATGAAAAGGAACGTATGTTTAAAAAGCTTCTGGGCTGTTGTTATAGGTCAACTTGGAGGTTTTGTGAATCACTGTGCCTATATGAGGAATGCTCAACCACGGGAGAAAAATTAGTTGAAGATCAGGTGAAATTTTCTTAGATTTTTTTTCAATAAAGCTGCAGCTACATGAGTCAGCCTTCCCACACACTGTTGTACAATGGCACATTACTGTGTTGGTTACTGTACTGCAAAAGACAGGGCAAAGGCACTTGAGAGAATTTGGCTAGAGTGTGTGTGTGAACCAGTTGGCCCACACTCCTTCAAAAGCTGTTCATGTTGCTTTTTAATGTCTGCTGTTTCCTGTGAAAGAAAACCTGAAGTGATTGCCTGTATAACATGTAACAATAAGCTGTACCCACCTTTTATTGTGTTTTTTCTCTTTCTATCCGCAGGACTACACATTGACTATGTATTTCCAGCAGTATTGGAGGGACAAGCGCCTGGCCTATGTGGGAATCCCTCTCAACCTGACACTTGACAACAGGGTTGCTGACCAGCTCTGGGTCCCCGACACCTACTTTCTCAATGACAAGAAGTCTTTCGTCCATGGAGTCACAGTCAAAAACCGCATGATCCGCCTGCATCCAGATGGGACTGTCCTCTATGGACTCAGGTGTGTTCTGCTTGTCAGGTCTTCTTCTTAATGAGACAGTGGGACTTTTGACTGGGCTACATGTTAGCATTCTCAGGATTCCATGTTGTACATTATCTTATGACTCAGTCACACTAGAGTAAAAGTAGGACGCCAACCTCCTTGCAACTACAAAAAGAAATGGTGGTTCATTTTGCCAAAATTTCCTTGTTGCAACTCAAAAAGGTTCTCAGTAGTTTGTATGGACCCACATGCTTGTATGCATACCAGACAATGTTGGGCATGTTTCTAATAAGATGATGGATGATGTTCTGGGAGATCTCCAACCAGATCTGGACCAGGGCTCACTGAGTTCCTGGACAATCTGAGGTGCATTTTAGCAGTGTTGGATGGACTGAAACACAATGTCACAGAGTTGTTCCATTGAATTTAGGTTGTATGAACATGAGAGTCAGTGGTAATCTTGAGTCCCTGCCTACTCTCACCATTGTTGTGCACCTGAAGTAACCCAGGACCCACTGCACAGGCACATGGTCTAACAGTCAGTCCAAGGGTTTCATCCTGATACCTAATTGCAGTCAGGGTGTTGTAACATCAGCCTGGTGTTCAGGTTGAAACTGCTCTCATTGGTGACAATTGGCCAGAATCTGCCAATTATACTATTCTATGGCAAATGCCAATCTGGCACCACAGTGCTGGGCAGTGAGAATAAGGCCCACTAAAGGACGTTGGTCCCTCGGGCCACCTTCATGAAGTCTGTTTCTGATTGCTTAGTCAGCGATATTAACACCAGTGGCCTGCTGAAGGTCATTTTGTAGGGTTCTAGAACTGCTCATCCTGTCCATCTTTGCACAAAGAAGAAGATACCAGTCCGGGTGATGGGTTAAGGACCTTCTACAGCCATTATGAAATCTCCAGTCTCCTCCTGAGACTGTGCTTTGAGACATAGTAAGTCTTCTGAAAACGACAAGTAATGATGTGCCATCCTCCAGGAGTTGGACTACCTGTGCAAACTCTGTAGGGTCCAGGTATCATGCTACCAGCAGAGAGACTGACCCTAGCTAAATGCAAAACTAATGAAAAAACAGTCAGAAAAGATGAGGAGCGGAAAAATGTCAGTGGCTGTAAAACCATTCCGGTGTTCAGGGTTGTGTCATTGTTGCCCCTTTGGTGCACCTGTTGTTAATTTAATCAACGGCAGTACAGTTGTAACTAATTAACAACCCCCTCTGCTTCTTAACTGACCAGATCGATATTCCAGAAGTTTAACTGAGTTGATGTTATGAATAAAAAAGGGCTCCCTCTAGTTTTGTTAGCAGTGGATATTCCCCTTATGCACCCGCCTCAGTTTCTTGCTCTAACAACAATGTCATTTTCCTGTTGTTATCAAATCCACAGCTTATGCAAACTTGATCCCACTTGACTTGCTATATAGCTAAAGTTTCATATAGCTTAATCTTTGGTGCCATTAAGTGTCATTGAGACCCCAAACAATTAAAAACATATCAGAGAACCACGGTGTTGCACTGCATGACACCTGCCTTGATTACCATAGATGTGCACTGCAGTTTATTTTGAATCCCACATACATCATTATGCTGCAGTAAACACTCAGAAGAACACCAAGTGTGTATTAATCCTCCACTTAAAAATAGTCCCTTGCAAATACTACTATTTTAGAGTTTAAGGAGATTATTGAGGTTTTTGTATATATAATTTAAAAATTCTACTAATTTTTTGTGACACATACTTTCATCAAAAGTAGAGCTTAGAGTTTCAAAGACAAAGTTAAGCAGTCTAAAAGTAATACAATACACTCGAAAGCATTGTTGATTTTGGTCATTTTATTTCATAGAGGAAAATACAGAGTGACAGCAACCTCATCCTTCAAAATATTTTTTCTTAAAATGAGCCTCTATATTTAGATAAATGAAATGATGAAAAGTTCCTATGATTATATATAGTCAGAAAAATAATAACAAAAGAACTGCATAAGGCAGGTTTATTAAAAATCCCAAATCCAAAAATAGAGAAGACCTGAAAACAAGACTGAGAAGAGAGCACAACCTGACAAGCGGAGAAAAGGGTAATAAGGAACAGGTGAACGTAATCAGACCCTACCAAGGGAAAGAACAAATGATAGTGCAATCACAGAAAATCACATGGGTTCTAACCTTCAAAATAAAACAGGAAATAAACTGAGTCAAAATCAAACTCACAAAGTCAACAGTAACTATGAAAGCTGTTCTGGACAATTCTGGGCCCTGCAAATAAGCAACACTTATCACGCAAAAAGCAACAAAAGGATGATCAGGGTCAAGAATATTCCCTAATGTTTTTCAGAGCCAAGTTAATTCTTTGTGTTCAAAGCCTTGTTTTGGCACAGTCCTGCAGCAGCTGAGAGGGTTTTGTGTCATGCTGAAGGGCATGTCAGTGTTAGCATTTTTATTATTTTATTTTTAAAGAGGGCTGCCGTTAGAGTTCATCTACGGCAAAAAGTGCAGACAGGTTAGACATGATCCACAATGCAAAGTTCAGCCTTCAGCTATTGTTTGATGTTTGTTTCATAAAGCCCTTGTTTTGAATTTCCATTGATCTTTTCGACAAGCAGGTTCAGAAGAGCTAGTGTGACCTATTATTATGGATGCAAGCTTTGAATTATTAGAGCAAAGCAAAAACATGTGTGTGTCTGTGTGTGTGTGTGCACTTGCACACTTGCATTTGCATGTGTCAGTGTTCATACTTTATAGTCAAGCAGCTATGCTTGATTATGCAAGTGGAGTTCATAGCATTTAGCCCTGTGGACTACTTATAGACCTCTCAGTGCTTTAAGAGATCAAAAGGAGAGGGAGACGTGTGACGTGGTGTTTGTGATATGAACTGTTACATAAATGAATGCCAGGTAGAGCTGAGTGATATGTTGAATGCAGATTTTTATCGTGGTTTCAAGGCAGCCACTCTGTATTTGTGTGTTTGCTGTTTATTAGGGAAAGCAGTAAAAAATACAATTTTAAGCTCTCAAAAGCAGTTTGTATTTACATTGTAAGTTGCATTTTGCCACAATGCTGTTTGTCATTTTTGCAAATATGGTCTATTAATTGCATTTTACAGAAACTGTCTGTAATTTAAAGAAAGATTAAATGAAAGGTAAAAAATGTGCAACTACCAGTCGTTTAAAACCAATCACACACTCAGCCCTCCTGATAGCAGCTTGTGGTGCCCCAAATGCAGAATACAGATTCGTATTGTACTACAGTCAAAACCTGGAACGGTTTTGGTAAAATGATAAAAACGGAACTGTACAATTTCGGGCTTTAGTTTCACAGGATCCCATTCACTCTGACACAAGATACAGTCAAAGAGTTATTCACTTTTCAGAAGATCTTTTCTACAAGTTAATGTTAGCTTCCTTACTAACGTCTTTGGGATACTGTAGTAGTAAGATAATAGGCTAGCAATTGAATTTGCATTGAATACAGACTACTCGAGGGCACAAGAGTACTGTTAGCCTAACATTATTTGTTACTCAAATAGATGGTATTAAGGATTGACCCAGTTATACCTTGAAGTTATAAACTGGTTTCTGAAGTATCATTTTGAAACCTTGAAATGAGGGTTCTGTTGTTGCTGTCTTGGTTTAAAAAATCCAGTGTGACAAGGAGGGGCAGGTCTGACCATGATACCGAACACTCAGAGTACCAGGGATAATCCTGCTGTTTGAAACACAGCGTGACTGAGATTTAAATACAGATTTAATGTTTTATTCTGTATGACCCAAAATGAGTGAATGAGCCCATAACTTCCTAATGAAAGTGTTTACATAGGTCAGCAGTGATCTGGTAAAGTTCTGCATTGGTTTATTTTTCCAACCCAAAAGCTATACCAATGTCTTATAGCTTGTATGACTTCTCCTGTACCTTTACATGAATTTTTGATAGGGTTAAATTGTGCATTGAGTCTTTGTTGGCTGAATTTAGCTGCATGTGTTAGTTTGTCCAGCTGAAGCAATAGTTTCCTTGCGGCTGTTCACATGCTACTGTAGAGTCTTTTGAAAATTTGGTCAAATCAGCATTTGGACTCTCTTTTGCTCAATACAAGCCCACAGCTAAGACTAGCTAGTTAGCTAGCTAGGTAGTTAGCTGTATGCCAAATAAAAAGAGATACTTCAACAATTTTTGTGTTTTTGATAAATGCAGTAATGAATAATAATTAAGTAAAAAGCCGTAACACAGGCATTTGGTTATTTCAGAATGGACTTCATGTCACTGGGTTATATTAGCTAACACGCGCTAACTGGTACAGTGTACGATATTTGTTTCTGACCTGGCTTTTGTTAGACAGAGTGGCATGGAAAAAAAAAGATTAAAACTGACCCACAACCAAATGCAATTATTTCAGGTTTAATTTATCAAATGACATTTTCTGATAATCAGTTGGATTTTGAGGCTGTAATTTATATTCCAATTTATGCCATTTAGATATCATCTTTTATTCATATGAATTTTTTTTTTTTGATTAAACACCTTCGACTCCAATGTCCCCAAATCCATGGATTTTCAATATGTTCTAATTTAAAAACTGTTACTTTAATGATTTAATGTAAATCAACAAATTTTTTTTAACTGCTAATCAATAGAGTGTAGGTAGTTTTTTTTTCTTGTTGTTACCATAATGAAATGAAGAGATAAGGTAGCAGAGAAGCTTCAGTGATATTGATAATCTGTGTCATGTATTGGAAAATGTGTTGGAAGTCCATATAATCTATAATATGTGTGGTAATGCTTACTGTTAATGTTACTGTTGAAGACCTCTTATTATGTTGCTGTAATTTTTGCTGCATAATAATATCACATAATGGAGCCTCATCTCAGTCTTTGCTCAGTGAATACATCCAGTGGCTAACTGCCAAGCAGCCAGCTTTTAATCAGGCCAGACTTAGCCTAAATCATTTTGAATTTGCATTTCACTTTGCTGCTTTTTTTTAACTGTCTGATTATCAGTCGTTTGAGCTCGCACATCTGATAAACAAAAGGCACAGATACCTCCTCATGACCCAGTTCAGTTGAACAGGGAAGGATGCATTTCCTTCATATCATTTTTATTTTTACAAATTTTTACTTGATCGCAGGATGGAGGGATGGACAGTTTTGGTGAAGGGGGAGCACAAAATGTTTCAAAAGCAAACATGTTCGTTGCTTGTCTTGTATGATCTATAGTCTAATTAGGTATACAGTTACACAGTCAGCATTTTAACTAGGAGGTGGTGCTATAATCTTATTTTAAGATGACAATGCCAGTAGTCTCCAGTAATATGAAACCAGCTGAGGGACAGGTTGAAAAGGCAAATGGACATTTGGTTTCCTTTAAAGATGATAGGTGCTTTCACCTTAATGCTGTAATCTAATTGTATTCCCGCAGTCCCTTATTCTGTTAGGTAACTGCTATTTTTAAAACACCTCAAATCCCTTACATCTTCACTCTCCTTCTGATCCGTCTTTCAGAACAATTTTAGTAAATCACATGTGTTAACTAAAATATACCCTCTCCCCCCATGCCTTCTTTTTCAGGATAACTACAACAGCAGCATGTATGATGGATCTCAGGAGGTATCCTCTGGATGAACAGAACTGCACTCTGGAGATAGAGAGCTGTGAGTAGACAGGCCTAATGCCTTGTGGGCTTGACAGATCAACAGCGGCGCACAGGCAGAGTGTCTCATGTGTGAAATGTTACAGATGCATGAAAGAATGTGCAACCTGAGGTACAGCAGCGGTTGTGTGTGTGTTTCTCTTCTGTGTTCTGTAGCCTTTCTTTTAAATCTGTACCAGATGGATGAGGGTAGTATATATGACTATGACAAATACTTAGCTAATTTCATTCAATATTATACTTCTATAAAGATTTGGGAAAGTTTAAAAGACCAATCTAGTGCAGTTATTTAGTTAGAAGTCATGCTTTCTTTTGCAAATGTTTGCACCTCATTTAACCTCGTAAAGATCCACTAGGTTGCCATGTGCTACTTAGGGTAGGAATAGTTTCAGACTCAATTCTACCTCTATAAATGGAATCTTATACCAGAAGTACTGTAAGGTTAAAATGCATGTAGGAAAGTAGTTTTGAAAAGTAACAGCGTCAAGTTTCTGAAACCTGCTGCTAAAATTCAACCCTAATACAACTCCTTAGTAGTTCGTCAGTAACCTGGTGGGTGTAATGAAGTAACATTGATGACAAAATAACAATTACTTTTGGAGACTATAAAAGAAAACCTCAAAAAAAAAGGAGTCTGTGCAAGACTTTACCCTCTGTCATGCATTTTCCTCTGGTTGCTTGCTGGTTCTATTGTAGCAAATATAATATTGAACTACGTCTACATAATCTGTGTCAATTATGCAGAACAACACAGGGGTTATTGTTCTGCATGCAGAGATATTTTTTTTAAACAAGCAATAAAAAGAGCTATAAATGCAAAACAGGAATATAGACAAACAGCAGGCCAAGGCATCAACCTGAGGGCAAGTCATTTAAAAATAAAAGTGATAAGTATATGGTAAGCATTCATTTATTGGTCACCTAACCAATGTAAGTCTAGTATTCGCTCTATTTTTAGCTCATTTAAGCCATTGGCCTATTTAATAGGTACACCTAGCTAGTTTCAGGCTGAACCCTATTTTGCTTTCAGAGCTGCCTTTCTTGTGGCACAAATTCAGCAAAGTCCTGGAAACATTCCATATTGACATGATAGTGCAAAACACTTAGCCCTCAGTCGATGTTTTCTCTTTTTTTGATCATTCATCACTGTGTAGAAAAATCTCAGCAGTTTCTGAAGTACTGAGATCAGTCGGTGAGACACCAACAGCCATGCAAAATTCAAAGTCACTTAAATTGATCTCTCTTCTTCAATCTGTGCTCACAATCAGCTCAGCTCTTGACTATGTCTACATGCCTAAATGTGTTGAGTTGCTGTCATGCGATTGGCCGATTGGATATATTTTGTTAACAATCAGTTTACTTATCCATTTCAGGATCCAGTGTGCCGGAGCCTATCCAGCCTATATAGGGCGAGCATGTAGAGTTGGAGGGAAATTCACATTCACACCTACAGCCAATTAGGAATCACCAACTGACTTAGAGTAACAAGGTTAGGTTAGATTAGGTTATATGTGGCCATTTAGCTGCTAAATGCTGCAAATGACTTTGGCCCTGTTCTGTTTTGTGCTGATAGCGAGCAGGCCATCGCGGCTTTAAACAGGGCTGATAAGAAACAGTGACACGAAACCGTGATGGCGTGGGCCAAAACAATGAGCTGAAAGACACCAAAGGGCTCGTTACAGACAGGGCATCCCATCTCTCTGTAGGGTGTGTTATTACGAATAACTGGGATGCCATTACACGTGTTATGTCGATATAAAAATATTGATTCAAGCAGATTTAAGTTAGACATTTCACATATTTATTTGTGAGAACTCCTCAGCGTTTGAATGCTGTATCACTTAGCAGCAGTGAGTGTCTCTGCTCGTCCTTTACAGACATCCTCAGGGCACCACTTGGTTTCATGTCAGCCTTCTGATTGGGCACTGATTTACACCTGGCATGCCAACAATATGGCAGGATAGGATTAGGCTTATCAGGAACACATAGAGTTTAAGGCTAGTTAGAGCCAATGTCTCGGCTAGAGTAAGAACAAAGCACATTGTAGATGTTTGTATTTATATTGTTTTTGGTATCATCCCCACAAAAATACTAAAGCAAGATCTGCTAATGGCACTGGACATGTCTATTTTATAATTCTTCTGACATTTTCCAAACCCCAAGTAAAGCTATTAAGAAAAGCGCCTGGTACTTGGAAACAACTTCAAAAGTGTTTTTTTATTTCCTTCCCAAATGACAGCCCAGTTGGATGATCAGCAACACTGCATGTCTTGGTCTCCAGTGATGGTTAGACAGATGGTTACACCTTGGTGTGCATGTGTGTGTGTCTGCGCACGTCTTCTTCTACAGATGGCTACACCACAGACGACATCGAGTTCTACTGGAAGGGAGGCGAGTCGGCTGTGACGGGGGTGACACGGATCGAGTTGCCTCAGTTCTCCATTGTCGATTACAAGCTGGTGTCCAAGAACGTAGTCTTTTCCACAGGTAAATGCTTCATCAGCTGGATTACCTCTGGGAATAATGCACGGTGAGGCTAACTAGGGGATGTGACATTTTAGATCATATTGTCCATTTCATGCACTGGCCTGTTTTCGGGAGCTGATTATTCCATCAGTTTCTGCAGCAAACATGCCAAAATGTCTGTTGATCTTATATCAACAGATATAATATATATATTGGTGCTTTTAATTGGATTGAAATGAGGAAATGCGCCGTCTTTGAAGTATCCCTCATGCAGCAGTAGGCAACGCAAGCTTGTTGGAATGGTGCTTAAGCGGGACATGTGGTAAATTAGAAAGTATATCATGCCCACTTCTGGCAGTTCTTGACCCAGAGAGGTGAAGTTTAATGGATGTAATGGTTCAGTTATTGTGCTATCAGTAGGAAATGTAGCTGAAGACTCTTATCAAGTCAGTGTGATTGCAGCAGTCTGATTGAGAAGCCCCTGAAAAATTGGTTTCAAATACAATAATAATAAATAGTCATAATTAAAGACATGAATGTCTAAGTTTGTAGTTATTATTTATGAAAACCTCAGTTTCAATTCAGTTTTATATAGATAATACGATATGATTTATATAGCCCCAAACCACAACAGCTATCCTTTCAAGATGCTTCATAGTGTAAGGTAAAGACCCTAAAATAATGGGGAGAAAGCCCAAGCAACTAGGCAACCCCTATGAGTGACCACTTGGCGACAGTGGGAAGAAAAAACTCCCTTTTAACAGGAAACAAACCTCCGGCAGAACCAGACTCTGGCAAGGCAGCCTGCTGAACAGCTGGGATTGAGGGGAGGAAGATGGGACAAAAAATGATATTAAACAGTCACACAGCTGTTTGCAGATCTGATCTGAAATGTTGTTCCTTTCAGAAATCGCTCATGTTGAAACAACTAAATTGATGTAGGTTTGAAAGAAAATTGTATCTTAACATAAAAGTTGTATCAACATTTTTTGAATTATTTGTATAGCTTCATTCACTGTCATCACAATACAGTGACAAACACTTGAGGATGAGGATGTTACTTTAATACTGTTACACCCTACTATATTCACTCTCTGTGGGCTAAAATCTCCCGCTGCACTACAAAGCATCCTGCTGCTAGAGCCCAGCCGATATTCAGTGATTCAAATATTGTGATAGTCCGATATGTGGGCAGATTTTTTTCCCTTTCAGAAACACGAAGCATAAACAGATTGTCACGAGCCAGCAGATCTCAGACCTTATTTATCATCAAATGACCTTTAACCTCTAATGAAATGTGGATGACAAGAAACACTGAGGAAGAGTTTCAGTATAGTTAGAAGGCAAAATGACAGGTTAAGGCAACTTGTAAAGTCAATGTATATGAAGGATTTACCGTATCACATTTCATGTTCTAATTCATGTGTGTCAGATCGCTGTAGAGGAGCTATTTTAACAAGTAATCCTCATTTCAATCATATTCCATGAACTTTGATTTGACACGTCGCCCATCCACTGAGGTCCAAAATGAATCAGACTGTTACTGAATGTGTACATTTACGCCGGAACACAGAGTGTTTATGAACATTTCGAAACCAGCGACCATATAATCTGGTCAGAGGGGACACATCGAGAAAGGCGGCTTCTCCGGAGCCTCGGAAATAAAAGCTGTGTGACATTTAGTAATAATGTAATTTCTCACAGAAGTTATGCTCATGAGGAAGTGCCACGCTGGGTCTGAAAAGGACATGCACAGTAAAGCACTCTTTGTTTGCCTTCTCGGGCGTGCGTAACATTTCTGTTGTGGCCGTTCTGTGTTATTTTCTGTTTTTTCATGCTGAGATGCTGTTGAAGCACGCGTGCACCTTTCTCTGTCTGTACTGCACGTGCGGCTGCTTTCCATTTACCATCATACGCGGGTGTCTCTGCCCTTCATGTGAATCACATGTAAGTGTGCCGATGCAAGCCTGTCTCTTGTTTATGAGAGGCGGCTTGTCCCTTGTGGGTGGTGGCTATTATTTTAATGTCCGGTGGTCTGCTCGCCCGCTCAGGATGTGTGAAGCACATCAAAGGCTCCCTGCCAGGCTGCCTAATGATCAGGTCTTGTCCATGTCATGTGCCACTAGCAAGCCTTTAGTTCCCTTCCCTTTTTTTCCTTTCCTGCTATCCCTCCAATCTGTCACTATCTCTCTCCCTCTTTTCTCTTCCTCCTGTTTTCCCTCCGGGCTTTCTTTAATATAACTTTTCTTAGTGCTTTTAAAAGGTGTGCTTGGATGCCAACTACCCTGCTCGCTGCAAGAAAAAAAACCCGGGTTTCAGGGCATCATAAATTCATGTGAAATGAGGCCCTCAACACATCAGTGTTTCTCATTTAAACACACACAAACTGTCTGTTTGCATGCGAGGGTAATATCTGCATGTCCGTATGGAAATGCTTGTATGGCCACTAGGGCAACATTTCTGAGTTAGGTAACATTTAATAGACTGTATAGAAAAGATGGATGTTGCTACCATGGTTTCAAAAGTCTGCTCAGGAACAACTCAAGGAACACAACAAAGCTCGCTTAGTCCCAAACCAATCAAGCATCAGAACAAGCTTGATTCACTGATGTTACCTAATGGATCCAAAGTCCGGCACCCCCAGAGATCCTCTGTGTGTGCATCAGGAGGTCAGAGCTCTTTTTGGCAGAACAGAGAAGCAACAAAATACTAAGCGGGTGGCTTTAATTCTGTGACTCGTTGTTCTTTAAGCCTCGAATATACCTTCGAGTTTGTGTGTTTTAGAAAACAAGAAATGCTTCGTTAACAGCTTTAGAAAAAAAAGCCCTGAAAGTACTCATTTTTAATTAATGTAGGACTGAAATTCATTAAGAAGCTTTTGCAGACTGCGCACAAGGACAAATCTGGCTCACTTTTGCCGAGCAACGGTATTAGAAAAAAAGACTTCACTAAGACTTCTGCTGCATACTTGCGATACACTTTTAAAAGCCAGTAATGCAAACAGTTATATCATGCAGTGCTTCATCTGAGCTGCAGGTAGTCAGCCCAACATAAAAACACGGAAAGCTAAAAAAACAACCTTCATAAAGAAAGCTTGAGCAGCAGGATCCAGTGCAAGATTGGCGCGTATGGGGTCAGTGGATCCCTTAAAGATGCGTCTCATTGCCAGAATCAAACTGTCAGTGGATACAACACAGCCTCTCATTGCTTCTAAACCTTGACAGTAACACTCCTGCGATCAGCGTGTCAAAGCAGACAAAAAAAGTCACCACCTTCAGCCTTACCCAGACTCCACTATATGACTGCCATCATCACCTTAACTCTTCGCCTTTTCTGTTTTTTTCCCCCTCTTCTCCGTCCTCCCTCTCCTCCCTCTCCTCCCCGCCCTCGCACATGGTGTTCCTCCCACTTGCCGATGTTGTTTGGTATAGCAGTTACAGCCAGTACTGCTCTACACCCACACACAAGTGAACCTCAGCCTCCTCTTTTTCTGAGCCACTTCTGCATCTGCTACTGCGGAGATACTCTGCTCCGATTTAGGCTGGAGGAGTTGCCATTAAAGCTGCATCTAAAAGAGTGAATGGGATATTGCCACAGTCTGTTCCTATATTCACACTGCAGTGAAGTGTAGGTTCAGCATGTGTGGAGTTTATTCACTGCTGCCAAAACTGTAAATATTGGAGAATCATTGAATGTGATAAACAACGCATACTTTGTGTATTTATATGAACGCTAACATATGCTCGACTGTGAGATGAAGCTTTGGTTAAAGTTGCACAAAGAATTAAACACAGAAGCTTATGGAATTAGCTAGTTGAGACAATTAATTGATCAGTGAATCATTTAAGCAACTAATCAGTTGATTAGTGAAAGTCAAACGGAGTCAAATTCTTCGTTTTGGCCAAATAAGGTTTTTTGTAACTCATTTTAATCAATACATCCAGGTAAAATTTCACAATCACACAGTATTGGGGCAATGTGTCAGCTAGTGAGCACACCCTAGATATGCCTCCTATAGAAATCGAATTATTTTTTTTCTTTTATTCAGTATAACCCAAAATGATTGACTGAACCCATAAACTAATCAGTAAAGTCTTTACAGGATTAGAGAGCCTTTCCAGTTCTGACAAACCTGCCTACATAAACGTTCTTGCCGATATTGACAAGGGTTAGACTCTCAAACCAACAACTTGTGTCTCTAACCCTAAGATGTAGCTTTTACTTTAGATTTGATTGTTGTTAAGCTGACTGGAAAACCAAATATACCAAACAACATCCATGGATGTCTGGTGCTTGGTGAGGTAACTTTGGAACAACCAATCAAATTGGCACGAGGATCTGTTAACACCAAAATCCCTACTTTAGGCTTACATGCTTTACTTGTATTTATTTGTAAGTGGAAGTGATGGGATAATTTGGGATATTTTATTACACCTAGTTAGGTGTAATATTACTTTAGCATGTGTTCATGTTTCTAATTAGTCGAGTCATTCGTAATGAGTCATTTGGCACCGGGCCCCGAGAGTTGAGGCTCGGGTGTGAAATTTATGGTTTTCAGGGTTTTTATCGTTAGCTCGGTTTCCCTGGGTGTTTTCCCATGTTGTAGTTGTTTTATTTTGAAAGAAATATTTACGCGTTACCATAGCGATCAGAGAGCATTAAGAGGCAGCGAGGAGGATGTTACTCTGTGTTGTTGGCACATTTCTGGAGGAATAAGTTACACAATTACACAGTGAATTTGCGTTTATTATTATATTTACAAAATACCACAGTTTTTGTCTTGGTCGTATCATTTTATTTTGTTGTATTTATCCGCGACACCGCAAAGGCTGGTCCGTAAAATTATTCTGACATTAAACCGGTCCGTGGTGCAAAAAAGGTTGGAGACCTCTGGACTAGATGGACAAAACTATCAGGCCACACCTCATAATCTGAATTTTGTCAAAAAGTGGGTCATTCGAAAGAGCTCACTGAATTTTAGTGCGGTAAACAAATAGGTTGCTAAGTCAACTGATGAAAATTCTACCCTCTTAGATATTCCACGATAAGCTGGTTTTAATGCAAAGTGCAAATGCTTTAGGAGCCACAGGAATTCAGCCATGAAGTGGCTGTGTAAAGTCCCAAAGCAGGGTTACCAAGTGCTCAGGTGCAAAGTGTGTAAAAGTTGCCAACACTCTGCTGAGTTGGCATTAAGATCAGCACTAAAACTGTGCGCCAGGAGCTTCATGGCATGGCAGTTCCTGCAGGGGTAATGTGTAGGTGGCCTAGTCCTTTTGTCTATATACTTCTGTATTTCTACATGGTTTTTATCTTGAAGGACGCAGTTATAGAAATAAAAAGAAATAAAAGTGGCATTAAAACTGAACAAATGTTATCTACTTGATAAATAAATTAAATGAAAACCGAAAGACAAGCAAAAATCATTATGTTTCAGGGACCTTTTTAAAAAATATTTCAGAACTCATGAAGGCACGAAGGTCAAGGGAAAAACGTCTTTTTTGCATCAATAAAGAATATTTTTCTTCATGTTGACTTCAGTGTACATGTATATTGTCTGGTATGTGTTTGTGGTACATGTATAGACTTTGTTGTTCATTTGTTTGTTGGTGATAAAAATTTGATAGGTAGGTGGAAAAATAATGAATTTAAGCCTAGTAGGATTCACTTTCTGGGAACTATGAATATCTTCAGTATAATAAACAAATCCCATATAGACCAGTTGGGCCAACACTGCATTATAGCCTGCTGGTGCGAGACTGTTTTGGGAGTATAATGAGTTAATGTGGGCTTTGTGCATGACATACTAAATAATTCCACTGATCCATCATGATATAAAATGGGGTTTGTGGGTGCTGAATGCTTTAAAAAGTCAAATCAGTCAATAGCACTTAGAGTACATAATAACATTTGATGTATGGCCTGTTTTTGAAATTATATGTTGCCATTTTTATTGCTATCTAACATACAGCTGGTGCTGAATCTTAATGAGATTGGGTGTGGGGTTTTTTTTTTTGTTTTTTTTTTAAGTGACTCTATGAAACTCCACACAAGTGTGTAGTCGATTGGACCCACGCTCACCATAAGTAGCTTTGGCTGACACCCACGGATTGGCAATTACAGCATAATGGGCCCCACTTCTCCTCCAATATAAAACAAAAATGGAAAAATGTCTAAGAATAGTGGGAGTAACAAGCCATAGATAAAATCTATATAGAGACATAATGCTAGGAGATTGATGAGAAACCGTGCCACGCCATTTATATCAGCGCTTCATGCACAGTCATGCACAGACTCTGTTTATATTTCAGGTCATGGAAAAAAAATTAATGGCAAAAATGCTCTCTCAAAAGCAGCGCTATAATTTGAAATTCCTGACTTATGAAGCCTCTGAAGCACCGCTACATGCATTTATAAAGCTCAGCATTCTTGTAATGCCGAATCCTTCAGAATCCACCCATGAATTATGGAGGTGGATGATGTGGAGAATTGATAAATCAAAACGTGGTGAAATTTTTATCACCGTCCTGAATATTGTGTCACATCTCTCTGATGCATGACTGCAGTTTTGTGTGCGCGTGTGAGAGCGAGTCAGTGTGCGTTTGCGCGTTTGAAGGGGATGCTTGTTACCATGGCAACCCATGCTGCTGGGGTTGCTGTGGAAACTGAAACAAAAACACGAGGTGTCCCTGCATGCTTCTCAGAAGAACAAAGTTAAAACATTATCAAGTGAATGCAAAAATAACGTCTAAGGGATGTTAATATGTTTCATTTTACCAGTTTTTATATTACACGCCATGAACCTTCAGAGGTTCTTGCCTACTTTATCTCTCAACCACTCGTCTCTGTCTCGCTTATCTTAAGGTGCCTACCCTCGACTGTCTCTGAGCTTCAAGCTGAAGAGGAACATCGGCTACTTTATTTTGCAGACGTACATGCCATCAATCCTAATTACCATCCTCTCCTGGGTGTCCTTCTGGATAAACTATGATGCGTCAGCAGCCAGAGTGGCTCTAGGTAAGTAGTGGTGACTGTTTAAGAGCAAGTATTTTTCTTTCTCAGATGAGGTCGGGGACTGGTAGAAATCAGAAGCTGCCTTTCTTCCTTCAGCGTGATTCCCAAAATAGTCTGAACTTCTCCTGTTATTGTGTCTGAGCTTTGGGAACTGGCCTGTAAATGGATGGACTAAATGGTGATAGATTTGAGGAAAAGTGCCATCCTGTATGTCTTAATGGACTGTTTTTATCCATTGTGACAGTTTCTGTAGGGCAAAAGTACAAATTCACTGAGAAGCCTTCACGAGCTACAAATTCATCACATATCTAATGGGCATTATTTAACCTCTACTTGAGTGGTGCAGTTTAGTAGCACTCAACAATGCAGAGATCAAGTAAACAAGTCAGTGGTATGTAATTATGGAGATTTCAAGCTGGAGGCTGAAGCATAGTTTTGCCTTTGTGTAAAGCTGAGCCGACCACACATCAGGCAAGTGCAATGGTCAGGATATGAAGGCAGCCAAGGTAATATCTCAGGTGCAATTTATACATAGTGCTTTCCACAACACTCATACTTGACATGCTAAATAGGTAATTAAGTGTTCATTAAGCTACACCTCTAAATAACAGAGGTCCAGTTCAAGCGTAAGGAGTAAGGAAACAGCTCTACTGCCTATTTCTGAGAGAGGGTGGTCTCTTCCTTTAGTTTTTATAAACCCCAAAACAAGATGAAACTCAAAAGAAGTATATGTGATATAGCTTTTGTTAGCGCTAATATTATGCAAGGTAGCCATAAACCATGTTTAGCCGTAAGTACTAGCTGTGAATACTGCTGTAAAAACAGCATACTGTCTGTACTAAGATTGTGTTGAACATTTATTAGCAGCAACATGGCAACCAGAGATCACTTCAAGTGACGACAGGCAAAATAACCACTGGTGACTTGAAGTGGGCGAGTCCCGAGTTACACTGTTCTCAACTTTGTAATTGCTAATGCTAACTTCAATGTTGCTTTGCAGTTAGCAAAATAACGTTTTGGTTACTTTGAGCAAATCACTACTTTATGGAGTTTAACTACCCAGCAAACATAGTGAAAACTGTGACATTATTCGATGGATCAAAGCGGTTTGTGGTAAGATTACGCCACAAATGAACAGATGTTGATATTTCCTCAAATTTTTGTGTTTCAGCAATGTCTACTCTTACGAAGCAAGAAATGTCAGTCATACATACAACAAAGAAAGAAAATGGATGTGTGTTTTTTTTTTTACAGCATTGGAGTGATAAATAATTTAGATATGAAATAGATGCAATCAGACAGCCACTCTGCATAAATCCAGATAAGTTCAACATGTAATACACAATCAGTTGTGTGTTGCTTACTTGCTTATCTGGATAGTCACCACCATTTACACTCTGTCCCCCAGTATTAGTATAACCTTTTAGAGCAGTCTGATCTAAGTCTTTATTAGTTCTCTAATCATTTTTGTTCTAACAATATGTCAGAAAGTGTGTTACATAATATAACAATTGTGTGAAATATCATTGTTTAACGCTACTGGTTAAACTAAGTAACACATTTTTAACCAAACAGATGATGAGATGGTGAGCCTTTCGTTAGTAAGATTTCCCATTGTTAGAGATGCTGTAGGTGGTTGGAGAGAACTAACATTGTCAGATACCCTTCAGGGACTATTTTGGAGCCATTTCACAGTGAAAAGAGAAGGCTCTCTCTGAACTGGCAACAAGCCACGGATTCATGCAGCAAAGCCTCCGCAACCGGCAAACTTTTCCAAAAAAAAAAAAGAAATTCCAAGTTGTGCTAAATAAATGATGCCATGGAAAATGAAAGCACAGCTTTATGTGCTAATCTTGAATTAGGAATATTTGTAGTTGTTTTCCTTTATTGACTTTTCATAAAATGCTTTCATAACACTTAACTATCCCAACTAGGCAAATTAAGGCAGAAGGGGCCAGACCTTTAAAATCCCAGACTGTAATCAGTTGGCAGTAGTAGCCAACAAGTAGTCAAGTTTGGCTGCAACTAAAGATTTAAACGAATCAGTTGATGACTGATTGGGTAATTATTCAGCTTCTAAAAGTGTAAGGTGACCTTTTGAGGTTGGTTGTCCAAAATCCAAAGACAGGCAATAAATCTGCAGTGCTGCTCTGCCGTTGTGGACAAACTTGACGGAAACTTTCAGGTGTGGCTGGAGATGGGTGAGCAGTAAATGTTTACCCAGGGGCCAAATAGTTCAATCTGATTGCTGCTTCAGTCCTTCAGTTCAGTTTGTAAGGATAGATAATGGACCAGTAATGACCTTAACACATCATAATGCTTTTTGGAAAACATGTTTTGATCCATTACCTTTCAGCAGCATCCATCTGTTCCCCTGCTACCCTGGAGGGAATCTGTGTGTGTGTGTGTGTGTGTGTGTGTGTGTGTGTGTGTGTGTGTGTGTGTGTGTGTGTGTGTGTGTGTGTGTGTGTGTGTGTGTGTGTGTGTGTATCTTTTCGTCAAGGCATGTATGCAATATCCGGTCATTATCGTATGCCTTGGAGTGTATGTCTGCTTTTTTTGTATGTGTGATAGCTGCAATATCCGGCATGTAGCTCGACAGGCGAAAGGCAACCAGAGGTCCATTCTCTACTCCTGATGGACCTTTTTGAGCTTTCAGCAGATATCTTAATTGTGGAAGAGGCTGTGTGTGTGTGCATGGATTGCTCTTTGTGTCTATGTGTGTGCACACACCTGCCGGTAAAAGCAGTGTAATGATCAGGAGGAAATCAATTCCAGGAGGCAGCAGGCAAACAATTGAATTGTTTGAAGGAGAATCTCATTTTCCTGAGCAATTCCAAAGGATTGCAAAGTTACAAATTACCTGCTTGCACCTTAATCTGGTTGCAAGCTTTTTTCCACAGTCAGGACCTTTATTCATACTTGTATTATGTGTACAGTTAGGGTACAGTTAGCTGTACAAGAACACTTTTAGAGTAACATAAGACACATAAGTTTGAAATCAGTATATGTTTGTTCAAACTTTTGAAATTTTCATATGGAATTTTTACCTATTAAGAGATGGAGATCTTTTAGCAAAAGGCCGACTACATGTAAGAGAGTTGATTTGAAAGGTCAATTTTATACTTCCTGATGATGGCTGTGTTTAGCATCTAACCTCATCTAACATCTAACCAGTTTAATGTTGACCTGGTGAATGTTGAGAGGTTAAAGTTTATAGACAGTGTGCTACAATTCCAATGTCAGGCTGTTTTAGATTAGATAATACATATCATAACCATCTATCCATTTGGATAGGTGGGATACACCATTGGCAGGTTACCAGTCAGTCACAGGGCTAAAACCGACAGGTAACCATTCATTCTCAGATTCACACCTCAAGCCACTTTAGAATCGTGAGTTAATCTAACATTCATGTCTTTGGACTGTGAAAGAAGAAGCAATACCCTGAGAAAACCCACACGCAGAGGGGAAAGCATGCTCAGCACAGAGAGGCCACTGATGTGTGGATCACCAGTGAGAACTTAGAAGGTCTGATAAATCTTTAACTCTTACCCCTTGGACATCTACTGGGAGTAGCCCCCCAAAAAACACATCTTTATTGATATATACTGAGGCGTCAAAACTTGTCATTAAGGGTACAAAATAACTCTACAAGCTACTGAGTGACCTCTTAAGTTACAAAGGCACATAAGGGGTAGTTTCCAAAGTTTGAGATAGAGACCTATTTGCTCCAAAATCATCTGTTCATGTTCATCAGTCACTTAGCTCCAGTGCCCTCAACAGCCATGCTAGTTACCACTTTTGTTGCGCATGCACTAAAATAACTTAATTTTAATGTCAGAAAAAGTAGAAGTATGTCAGTAGAGTTCTGCTTTCTGCCCCAGAACTTCAAATGCCAAAGCTGAAACTCTACAGACTGCTGCCAAGTTTTCTTAGCTTTCCAAGATGTAAGTATATCTGTTTAGTTTAGTTTGCAGTCCTACTAGACTGCCTGTACCCCTTGAAGAACAAAGACATTTTTCTAATGATTGTCAAACCACATCTTTATGGACGTATTACTACATTTTTATGTGCTTTAAGCCCCGCGTGCAGTCCTATCAGACTGACAGTTTGCGCTGTCTGCAAGTGATGAATTGAAGTGTTCAATTAACACTGCTTTGATTTACCTCCTGTGCCTGTCATTTTACAGGCATAATGGGATTCTGTATAATACATCTTTTTCTCTTTTCATAATGTGGAGCTGTGTTCCTAATGGCCTATTGGCACATGATTAGAGGAGATTTGATTGCCGTGCGCCTTTGTTCCAGCTGTTTGGGTGGAAAAGAGATTTGGGGACATATAACAAGAGAAAGGTGGGGGAGGGGACTCTTAAAAAAATGTGCTGCGTGAGCAAAGAGGGAAATCACCACAAAATGATGGCAAGATTAAGAAGCGGGGAACAATGAGACAAGACAAGGTGGGGGGAAGGAGGAGGGGAGAGACCAGAAGGAAAGGGAGCAAGAGAAACCCCATCAAACTATATTTCTCCCCAAAGAGTGTAACACCGTGATGAAAGAGGAGGGAGGCCCACATGCGCGTGGCCCCTTGATTAAATTGTCCGAACAGGGAGCGAGGGAGGGGGCAAATGAAAGGAAGTGAGGACTGGAAGAAGAGAGGGAGCGAAGGACAGAGATTAATGGTACAGCTCAGCGAACACCTATAAAGAACAAGACTGTCATTATGTGGAGGGAAAAAAAAGAAAACCAGATTGCACCATCCAGTACGGGTGGTGGCACTGAGCACGTGCACGTGCGAGCAAGCTCATGCGCATTCAGACCTGCAGTGCACACACGCGAGTGCTGTTTAGCCTTGTAATGTGCCAATAAATCACACGAAGGCTTGGACAGACCTTAGCTCTCCTGCACCCTCCTCCGCGACCCCCCTCTGACTGCTCCATGTCTCGTTGCTCTACTTTATGGCACATGAACCAAAAACCTTTGTGTGAGTTAAAGAGAATTCAGTGTTCATGCTGTTTGCCCATCCTTTCTTACAGTGGGTGCTCAGGGGTCATCGTAAAATGCATTGACCCTCATCCAGTTCTATATGTGGCTATAATTTTACGAGGCTCACCTCATGCTGTCGTTCTGCCATGTGTGAAGGTGCTCTTACTGTCAATGGTGTGTTTTATCCCTAGTAGTTAAGGTTACCAGGAGCTGGGGGCTAGATACATGCAACACTATTCTGATGAGTTATTTCTGCTTGGTAACCAAGGGGGCAGTTGGATGTTACAAGGCAGACCTTTGAATTTCAATGAGGCAGACTTTGTGCACCTACCTAGCAGCTTGTGCCTGCTGATCGCTTTTATATTTAATCCTGTTTACAACGGGCAAATTGTTTTAGGATTTTCAAATCAAATACATGCCCTCACCCTTGCTGCTATTTCTTGCTGTTTCTCTGGTTCTTGATGATAGCAAGCACCATAATCTTTTTTTTTCTCTGCCAGGTCAGTCGTGCTCGTAACTAGCAATGGAAACAGCCACAGTACAAACATGTTTTTTGTAAAAATAGCCTTGTTACTGTAGTAACGACAAAGACATCTGCTGGAGTTTTCAGTGTGACCTTAAGGTTTCGGTCGAGACAGCAGCATCTGTTTAAAGACAGTCTCGGACTAATTAAGCGTCAGATATACCATCCAGGATTGATTATGAAGATTGGTCATGAGGAAGCCTCGGAGAAAAAAAAAACAGACTTCCTCCACAGTTTGTCTTTGAAACATTTTGCTGAGTGATCTAAATCCAGTAATGTTACTGTGATTAGTTTAAAAGCCTCAATTAAAAGGATAACAGTCCGAGAGGTGAGGGTTTTTTGTTTGTTTGTTTTAATGAGGTAAGCCAAGATGTGCGATTATATAGGGCAGCAATGGCATACTACATGCAAGTGGGTTTTTAAATATTTCGTGTGTAAGATACACCCAACAAGTAAGCCAGATGTTAGGTTCAGCTTCTTTGCAGTCTAACATGTTTTGAGCTTTTCTTTTGATTCTTATTGTCTATTTAGTCAGACCCAGAAGACCTACCTGCATTTTTGTTATTTTCAACAAGGTACAATAGCATAAAAACACTACAATGCATCCATATAAATCAAAAACCTCATCACTTCTTCATGAGCATGTCAAGACATGGCTTCTATTTTTGATCGTCGTGCTGACCTCCTACTCTGTGCCTTCTTTCATGGATCTCAAACTTGTGGAAAGAGCAAACGTGAATTGTTGTTTCAGGATTCTAGTAGACTTCAAGAGTAACATCCTAATAGAGAAAATTCATTAGAGATGATGGGGCTGTGCCAGCAAATGGTACAAAAGTACACAGGAAGATGATTTTGAATATAAAACCAACTAAACTTAAGTCATGTTTTATAAGCCCAGTCCATCACCTCATTAGATAAACAGTCCAACCAATTGTTATCCCTTTGGTTCAGCTACCTAGTCTTTCTAAAGTAGACATGTTCGTCCTTAACAAGACTTGGATTTCTTAAAGTTGGCACCATATTTTCCATAGCTAACATCTCCTGAGGGCTACTGACATCTCTGTTCTATACAAACTATATAGTGCGTTGCCTTGAGGATCGTTTCTGGCAATTTCATTTTCTCTCTTTTTTCTATTTAAGAAGAAGTGTTTTAGTGCTTGCCGAGAATCTGTAGACCAGTTGTTGTCTCTGCTGTAGGCATTTGCTGTAAATATATAGATCAAAAATACAATGTTTTTTCTTCTATTTGAAGGGATCACCACTGTGCTAACCATGACCACTATCAACACCCATTTGAGGGAGACACTCCCAAAGATCCCCTACGTTAAGGCTATCGACATGTACCTGATGGGCTGCTTCGTCATGGTTTTTCTGGCCCTGCTTGAGTACGCCTTCGTCAACTACATCTTCTTCGGGAGGGGCCCACAAATGCAAAAGAAACTGGCAGAGAAGGCAGAAAAGGCCAACAACGAGAGGGCGGCTAAGTACGACGCGGCAAGGGTAGGTTTGAATTTGATTATTGATCACTGGATACCTGGGTGTGTATTATCACAACAGCAGCAGAGAAAATCAAGGAATCTGGGAAGTTTGTTACATATTTGTGAATATTTCAAATCTGCCACCAAAGCCAGCAGTGAAAATGCTTTGCCTTTAAAATCAAAAGCCAAACATGAAAACTTTCGAGTCTTCTTCATTCTAATTTCAAATGCCATCGTTATTGTTATTTAAAAATTAACTATTTATTGTTTTAAGATATTTTTTTTGTTACCAGCACCTGAATACTACTGACAGTAAACATGTAGGTAAGAGTTTTCTAAGCTTAATGTAGCCATAGTGTAGCTGGTGTTGCTGACGTTACACTGTTTGCGTAACTTCAAAAAGTTAATAGACAGGCCCAAATAGGAGGCTTTGTATATACTATAAGTTTGAAGTGAGAAGTTGCAGGATTTAGCTCGGCAGGAAGGCTGATAAAATGTGGCGTGGGTGATAATACGTTGTAGATACTGAATAAAATTTGAACACTGTCTATTTAGCTTTAAAGGCAAACCCTGCTAGCATGCTATATAGCCGACAGCACGGCTGGACGGCAGCTGGTGCGCTGCCAAAACGTTCTGGGAGTGTGAGTACACTGAAGAGAAATGTCTTGCCAAATGAAATGGTGTGATGCTGGACTTGTATGTGATATATGTAGCTGCTTTCAGAAGTTTGTTTTTTCTTTTTGGCAGTGCATGCTAGTAAAAGTGGACCAGATCATTCAGAACTTGTACCTGCTCAACTCTAGCTGTATGTGAGTACCAGCGCCATTGCTGGTCAATATGGCCATTCTTTAGCACCAAGAAAATAGGAGAAAAGAAGGGCTAATATGTGCTGTTCTATAACTCCATTGATGGCTTTTGTGATTTGTCGACATTAATGTGGAATAAGTTTGTCCAAATGCATTTTGTTAATACTCAAAATTAAAAGGATTCTTTTCTTTTCAACAGTTAAGAGTGAGGTACTACATTAGGGATTGTTGCCTGTTAGACACTTTTGAAAATGAGTGAAAAATGTGAATGACATGACATTTTTTGTTGTACTGAAAAAATATGAATGTCCACAGTCCTAGCAGGATAACTAAACCTGTCAATGGAGCTGTATGTTAGTTATTCTCAAGAATAATTATCAGTTTCTTTACTTTCATATTCACATATCAGGATATGTATAACAAAAGGGGAACGTTGTATGCTGTTTACCTGCTTTACTTTATTCATAGTGTTCAGTCACAAAATATATTGGTTAAATGGAGAAAAAAAAGTTTCAGACATTTGTTCCCAACATGTGGCTGAAAATCTTCATCTCCTCAGGAGGCAGGTAGTAGGACCGCGTCCCTAAAACGGTCCAATCAGGTTAAAGGTCTTCGCCACTCACGCTCGGTGAGTTGTTTTGTTCAGTGAGACCCTTCAATTCGCCGTCATCATCAGCAGACATGGATGCGTTTTCTTTTGCCTTGATGCAAAAATATTTCTCCATCCATGTGATAAACTGAGCAATCGCAGACATCTCCATGACATCGCAGATTTGCCACATTGGTGTTTCTGATATGACTTGTTTCCTCCTTTCAGAGCTCATTTTGAATGCATGCTGTCTGTATATCTTTCCTCATCGAAGTCATCAGTGAAGCCATTTCTTTCACAGTGCATGTAAGAATGTGGTGAAGCAGTCCACCTGCCAGTGGGTAGTCACTGCAGAGGTCCCCCACCATGCACAGTGGTATACAAAACAAATGAATTAATCTGAATATAGGGAACGAGTGCAGCATATTTACAAAGAAAGATACTAAAGTGACTGTTTTATTTGATTTAATAACATAAGACTTGAAAAACAGTTCATATTTAACCTCAGGTTTATTACACTCCAAAAAGTTGTATTGAGTCTAGTGATGATTGGTAGCCACCATAAGCTTTTTTATTATGTGGTAATTCTTGATTACTGGAGCCCGACTGATATATGATATTTAAGACTGATACCCATATTTGGTGATTTAAAAATCTGATATTGCGCTGTATCAGATAGTATATTTTTTCTTTTAGACACACAAAAGAAACAGATTTGCCTAACCTTTTTCCATAACCATTAATTTATTTACTCCTTCGGTTATTGTGTTTGTGGCATCCCAGACACATTTGACAACAGGGAAATTGCATAATCTCTACGTAACCATCAAATTGTTCAAATAGCTAATAATGTCATTTACTGGCATGACCATAAATCAGTCAGACTCTGGTGAAAGCAGTACATGCACTAAAATCAGAAATGTAGCTGTACTACATGTTAAATATAAGTACAAAGATAGATTTCTACCTATTTCCACAAGATTTGGAATGTTGTGTAAAATAAAAATAGAAATGAGTGATTTACTAACTAATTAAAGCCTGTGTTAAATTAAAAATAGTACAAAGACAATTTATCAAATGTTAAAACCATAATGTTTTTTTTTTAAGAATATATGCTAATCTAGCACATTTTTCATTAAATTTGCAATAAAAATATGTTTACCACTCTACAAGGCATTCTTTGACAGAGCTTTTCTTAAATGATATAACTGAGAGAGAGTAGGAATTTGTAAAGAGCCATGATGTGGGCATATCTCTAGAATGCATTTTGGCATTATCTTTCTGAAACAATTAAGGCCATCCCTGGAAATGGTGTCGTCTGGATTGTAGCATGTGATGCTCTAAAATCTGTAGTTGCTGTACAGCATTAACGTTGCCTTCACATACGGGCAAGTTGCCGTATGCTTCCCAATTAAAAATATGTCTTAAATGATTTGAAAATCAGTGTATATTGACATTTTAAACAGTATAACCTGTTTCCAAAAAAGCCTGTATGCTAAGTGCTTCACATCACCAGGTAAGCAGACTAGAGATAGATCACAGTGCTTTAAAAAAAAACAATAAAATATTCTGAAATATAATATAGTGTATAGCACATGAAAAATAAAACTTCTGGATGGGGTAGTGCATAGGCTAATAATTAGTAAATCAAACACCTCACAATAACAAGCTTCTTGCAGCAGTTTTAATTCTAACTCAAACAAAAAGGAACGATGGGACTTCCACAGTTGCTACATTTGCATGAGCAATCACTACTTTTCATTAATGTTGATTTGTCTATAATCATAAGCATGGATTATGATGTATTGTATCTTGTGTTGAATTTCACTGTTGAATATGACAATGAATGAACTGAAATAACTTCTATTCAACTGATGTATCAGGTTAGCAATTTAATGTGTTATCATGGACTATATTGGCATATTAATGTGCAGCAGCAATGCAACATGATTACAGTTATAGTCACAATGTTTAAAAAAAAAGTCAATTCTGTGAATATTTGCATGTTAAAATGTGACAAATATGTTTTTGTTTGTTTTTTTTCTCATTTTTGATTTTAGCAAACTGAAGACCTAATTCCATATAGTAAATGCGTTCAACGTGCTATTCAGCCAAAGCGTGTTGTAGCTTCTCCAAACCATTGCTACAATGGAGTGAATAAGGAGTAGAGGGAGTTATCCTGACTAACTCCACAGAGACAAAACTCTATGGAAAATGACTCTTCACTTGTCTCTTATCTGTGACCTCAGGAAATACTTTTCAGTTGAGTTTATGGTCTCAATCAGAATGGTGTTCGTGCATTAATGAAACTCAACAAGGTTAACGGACATGCAACTAAGTTAGCTAGCTAGCCATCGAAAATTACTCAAAAATGGTTTTTTTTTTTTAAAAAAAAGAGGGCATCTCATACTGTGAATTTAAAGTTGAAAGTTACAATAATTTGCCTTTTACAACTTGAAAAATAAAGACCAGTGTCCTCCGAATGTCAGGTGGTGTTACATATTTCCAGTCTGGATTATTGGTTAGCCTTGTTTTGGACAGCCGATGTTCCATTACTGCCACCTGATAGAACAAGCTCACTTTGATTGCATAGAACAATTGTGTGGGCTTTATGCAGAAAAGGTCAACAATGCCTGACAGATACATTTGTTTATGTAAGCTGCCAAAATCAACATTAATATGAAGTCTACGGTAGCTCCTATTTATTTTTATATGATGTGATGCAGAGTTTGAGTAAAACTAAGCCATCCATCCTTTGAAGAAATACAATAATCCTCGAAACTTTTTCAACACTTTGTTTTGAAAGTGTTTGAACCACAAGGGCTCAGATAAAAGAAAAAAACAATGTTTGATATGTAATCTCATGGGGGAATTCAGATGAGGTCGGGCATGAGAAAAGAAAAGAAAATGCGTAACAGTGCTTTAAAAGGAGCCTCCCATTTTTGCATCCTAATAGATGCAATGTCATACTGGTGGAAACAAAGTAGCAATGAGCCTAACAAGGCCCATTTGTTACTTCAGTATTTGTATTGCAATGTATGTTTTCCTGTTTTCCTAGTGTTAGTTCCGTTTTTCAATGCAAGATATTTTAACCGTTTGAGGGCTAGGTTGCAAAGGTGATGTGACCCAACCCTAACAATAATGCTAATACTCACTCAAGGGGCAATCAGAAAATGCTTTTTTTTTTTTTTAAATTATATTCTTCTCCCAAGAAACAAAAAAATAATCATTCCAACAAATGGAGCTAGGGTTCGGGTGGTACGGACTTTAAACCCCAGACGGCCATGAAAATCTTTCTTTCAGGATTCCTTCAATTCTTGGTCTTGGAGGGAAGGTTCCTAAAGTGCTGATATTCATAACTGTTTTCTTTCTCCATTCAGGCAGAGCCACATGGTCATGGGAACATTCTGCTGACCACCCTGGAAATCCATAATGAAGTGGCAGGAAGTGAGATCACCACCAGCGTGGCAGACATTAGGAACTCTCAGTCCATGGTGCAGCTGGACAGCACTGCCTCATCGCACATCCAGTATCGCAAGCAGAGTGGCGGAGTCGGTCCATGTTCTGCTAGCCGTCACTCCCTGGACCGCTCCGCTCAGATGAAACGCAGCCGCCTGCGGAGGCGGTCCTCGCAGTTAAAAATCAAAATCCCCGACCTGACGGATGTAAATGCCATTGATCGCTGGTCACGGATCATTTTCCCTTCCGTGTTCTCAATCTTCAACCTCATCTACTGGCTCTACTATGTCTGATTGGACTGTTTTGTTGAGGTGTTTTATTCTGGTTTGTTTTTTTGTTGTTGTTTTTTTTTGTGACTTTTTTCATTTCATTTGTTTTTCTTCCTTTTCTCTGTTGCTTTTATACATGATGGAATCTGCCACGTTGAAGACTGTAACACAATAAGACAAAAGTGAAAAAGAGACTGAGAAAAGACTACCGAGTTTTGGACCAAGTTCTCATTTAAGTTGTTTTTATATTTGCAGTGTTTGAACCCTTAGTACCGAGTTCTTTTTATTTTTGAAAGTATGTACTGTAATTGGGATTTGTGACAGTCATTTCCCAACACATTTGCCCTCTCAGTAATGTGTAAATAGCAAGATACAAAGCCAGCAATTGAATAAATATTACAGTATTTGCAAAAAAGAAAAAGAAACAAGAACCAGTTAAGTTAAAGATTTTTCTAATCAAAAAAGTAAGAAATCTTTATACTACACAGGTGATCAGATAAGTGCAGGCAACTCCTAGAAATCATTTACCCTATGCACTATTAATGCATGTAATGATCAGCCGTAGAAGAAAAAAAAATGAGTACTTTTTGCCTTCGGTAATAGCACAACTTCACAGCAACAAACCAATGTGTGTTTGTTTATAGCATTAATAATATACTTCCTACTAAATACAATTTATCATGCATTGAACTGGTAAACCTTTACCCAAACACAATATCTTCAAACTCTTAACATCCCCCAGGTCACTGGCAACCCATTTAGGGGTAGGTTTAGGCTAACATCTACCCTTTTTTAAAGACTTTATCACCTACTTGGAACATCCAGAAAAAAAACTGTACGGCCAAAATGAATGTACTTCATTTGAAAGGTAACATAGTTTCTTCAAATGTGCCCGTTTCCTATGTTAATTAAACAGAACCCTAGAACTGACCCTAGACTGACCACCGATGACCAGCTGGAGGTTAGGAGTTTGAAGCGGAGGTTTTTGTCCTCTGTTCAGAATGATTATGACTCAGGTTCTGAATTTTTTGGGTGTCTTTTTCTTAAAAACCAAACAAAAAAAATGTCGCTGAAATAACTTTTTTGGTCATTTGATAAGGGGAATAGAAAATAATAAGCACAACTATGACAACTGCCATTTCTTTCCTCTTCTACCTTCAACCAACAACACTTTTCAAGTGATAGCATGACAGAATTGCACTTAAATTTCTCCAACATTCTAGAAAAACTGTTTAAGAAAACTGCCAAGGGCCTTTTGGGCAATACAGTTATTACTTATCTCATGAAATATTATGATATTTTTGTACTCTGCGTCTTGAGGTCTTCATTTGAGTTCCTAATCTATTCTTGTTTTCTTTTGCGCCATCTCCGTTGTGGTAATAGAATAAAAGACCCATTTTTTGTACATAAGTTCATAGGTGTGTATATATATAAATGTGTATATGTATATATACATGTGTATATATATATCTATATATAGCTATGAGAGGTGGGATCAAAAAGTTCCAGGGATGGGCCTCTGAAAATTTAAAATTTGGCTCAGTAGACTTTAGTTCAAGGTTATCTTCTCACGTACCATTCACTGTTAACAGTGCATTTTAAGGTCACTTAACAGAAGTCCTGTGTTTCTCTATTGCTCACTGGATCCACTCAAGTATCTCAACATTTCAGATTGATTTTCTTTTACATAATCTGGATGAAGCAAATCTAGCAAACAGATTTGTGTTGATGTTGTCAAGAAAACATGCATTTTGAATGCACTTAGTGCTGACACACCACAGTTTTTGTAGTTCCGTGCTAAATGTTCTGCATTGATCCCTCAAGACATTACCATAGAGGTCTGCATTGACTGGCTGATCCCTGGACAAATTCCTGTTGCAAAAACCAGTGAATTCCAACAAAATGTATGACAGTAACCCTGTCACCAGTGATGATAATTCCAATACTTACTCCACAATAAGTGTTTCGATGAAAATCACTGTGTTGGGTAATTAACAAATCTACAAGGCATGTGAGATGACAGTATGTCACCAGTTGTGTAAGACAACAATCACGCTCAGTCATGGTACAGGCAATTGTACGTAGTGTACACCTAAGGACAGAATTTCTAGGCATAGCCAGGTGGCAGAAAGCTTCCACTTTGGTGCCCTCAGAATCTCATCACTGCTTTTTGCAGATGATGTGGTTCTGTTGGTTCTATGAGGTGGGGATCTCGTGCTCGCACTGGAGCAGTTCGCCAGTTGATCTATGTCCCTACCCTCACTTGTGATCACAAGCTGTGGATGCAAGCGGCAGGAATGAGTCTATTCTGAACTACTGTGTTAATGCAGCCAGGGATATAACCACCAACCTAAATTGTGAGTTAGTGGAAGGCCTACTCTACAGCCACCCCTAAATAAATTGCCCAACTTTAATAAATTAAAAACCACAAATCGGCAGTACAAAAAAGTCTTTTGGTCTCTATGAATAGTTTGCCACTTCATCAGCAACACTAAATGGGGCTAATTTTCTTATAATTCACCTACCTGGATAATTGTTTTGGGCTCAAACCAATGATCACATTGTCTGTCAGTTCTTGTGATTGGACTCTGTGGGGCCTCATCTACTTCTTTCAGTCGTTAAATTGGACTGCTTCACTGTAGGTTTCTTCATGGTGCCTTTTTGAGCCATTTTAATTGGTTATCTGATGCTTTGCTGTGAGGTAGAGACCTTTCAAGTAGTTCAACCAATATAATTTATGAACACAACCAGCTAGCTGTCATTAGCTGCTAACTTAGGACTCCATCTTTTTATTCATTCATTTCTGGCTCCAGAAACAAACATGGCAACCGCTAAAACATTAACATTAAAGCTCCATATTTGACACCCATAACCAGTGGTGACAAAAATGATCATCCATGGTGCCATGTTTTAGTCCTTTGAGATATATATATATATATATATATATATATATATATATATATATATATATATATATATACACACACACACGTACGTTTAAGATGTGCTGTGAAAATGACCTTGAACAGTAGCTCAGCCAAATTAAACTCTGGTATGGATTTTGATTTTCTTCGGGAGCCTGTTCCCAGAAGTTTTTGTTCACATCTCATATATCCCTGCGTGTACAACCCCAAAATGAAAATGATCTTTTTGTGATTGTCATACTGGCAATTAACATAATTTAGTAGAAAGAATTAAACTAACAGATCTGTTTCACGCATCCGTTTAGTTTTGAGCATTTGTGGGGCACTCTGAAGACATTCCTACCCAATAACTCCACTCAAGACACTGTATGTATGTTCAGCTGTACTGAGTGATGCAAATGGATTCCATAGAGCCCGAAGATGGACCAAGATAACTGATCTGTCGTGTAAACAAAAGCACATACTAGTATTGAATGTATCAGATCCATTCTTCAGGGAGAGGATAATGAGCCATGATCATAATTTTTCCATCAGAATGTAACACCCATTCCTACATTGTGAGTGACAAATAGAATAGAGTGAAAAAGTAAAAAGATGGTGCTTTACTAGTGTGTGCATGTGCATGTGTGATGGAAAGTGGATATGGAGCCACTGAAAGCAATGGCATTGGTAGATTATTTGTTTTCTTGCTGCTTGCTCAACTATGGACAAATGTCAACATATAATAGTTTTCTGGATTAAAAATAGCTCTACTGTCAGACTCTTTTGACAAACTGTGTGCCATTCCACCTAAGGTCGCAGAGCCATCAACCAGTTATAACTTGAGGATGTACATTTGAAGCATTCTTGATCAATTGCAGATACATGGAATACATCCACTATTTGTGCATGTACAAGAATACATGTAGAGAAAAAAAAAGGTTATTGATAACTGAGTTTGTTGACAGAATACAATCAGTCAAGTTTTCTTTGTACAGGTTGATATATGACTAAGAACTGAATGTATTGTACTTGGATTGTTTCTGCACAATTTCAGTTTGCTTACTGGAAAAAGGATTGACCTCAGTACTGATTAATATAGAGCTCTTGTGACCCCAAATCACATTTTCTGCTGTGTATACAGGCCTGGAGGCAAATAAGATCAGGGTACAAGAAAGAAATGGCAGCGAAATAATACATAAGTCTGCTTAGGCATAAAGTTAAGAAAAATGTACGCTTTTATGCAACCTAACAAGCATCTAGCCCTACAAAGTTGCCCCAGAGATGACCTGAAACAGACATTCTGCTTCACATTATAATAATAACAACAATAATAATGGTATTATACTAAAATTATCAGCAGTCCAGTCAGAAGCACAACAGAGGGTGTGTGTAATATGGTCTCCAATAGGAATTGTAACTAATGGCGCTAAATGGTTTTAATAGTTGCATATGCTTATGCTTCAAGAGAAATAAACCCAGATATTTATTTATTACATTTTGCAAATACAGTATCTGTAATATTTTGCTGAAATCTGTGAAAAAAATAAAAAATGGAAATATTATGTTTTTGTCATAAGCCAGTCAAAAAGAACAAACAAAATTTGCACTTTTGGGCCCTGTTCATTCTGGACCATTACCTGATCGTAATACAATTCCAGCTAGCAAAAGCTTTTAAATATATTAGAAGTTCTACGGTAACTCTGTGAAGTAGTTCATCTGGTATTGGACATGTCATCCCCTTGAAGGCGAAATCTTTCCAAAAAAACTTTACCCAACGGTGTGTTACCAGCACAAATGGAGACTACAAAATATTTTTGGAAATCTAGAAAATATTGCTCAATCATCAAGTGATTTCCAGTAATGTGGAAACAATTTTATTTCACTCAGATACAAATTTGTCTCCACATCGTCATCGACTAGACTTTGTATGTAATTGCGCTACATGTTGTTTTGCAATGAACACACAGTAAAAGAAAATGTCTTTGACTTTGGTCTTGGTCACAGAGCATTGTTTGGGAATATCTTGCATGAATGCAAAAAAGTAATGAAATAAGTCTGTCCAAAGAAGATTCAAACTGCTTTGTGTAGTTTGAAGGACAATATTTGTACACATATAATGTTGATGAAGCTTCAGTCTAGTGTAAATAAGACTGAACATGGAAGCTAAAGAAAAAACCTTTTACAACACGTGTCTAAAAAGATCTTCCTAGCTAACTGGTTTGCTTTGAATTACTTTTGGATGATGTGCTGGCATTACAACTGGTCAATGTGTGAATCTTTTTTTTTTTTAAATTACTGAACTACAAAGCGCAGTTTACGAGTAAAAGAAGGCAAGTGTTATAAACTCTAGATACCTGTTTATCATGCATGCAACTACAATTCGTAACTTTGGAGAATTAAAAAGAAAAAAAAGATTTATTGCAAACTCATTTATAAGAGCTGTCAGCTGCTCATTTTAGAAATGACACAATGCCGTGTGAGCCTACATCTAATAAATAAATAAATATTAAAAAATAAAATAAAAAAATAAAAAAAAGTCATTGAATACTTCAGGTGTTGTATGGCCTTGGTCCCATAATGGAATGTGAAATGTTCTGTGCTGCCACAAAATGTATTTAGGCTTAGATTTATACTGTATATCTCTGTATGTTTCTCTTCCTTTTTCGGTAGATTTCCATGTTAAAACATCAAATAAATGATATACATTGTACTTGTGTACTTGGTATTGTATGCATCATACAGCAAGAAAATGCACCTTCCTAAAGTTAGGGAAATCCTTACAGAAACTTGGGAAACTAGTGAAACAAGTCCAGAGATTGGTGGGGATGACATCTCGTTTTGAAGCAGACAATTTTGCTCCAACAAGGTACTTGTTTCCTGTCTTTTTCCATTTTCAGTTCAAATCTATATTGTAATTGACCACTTACACTAGGATACATCATATGGTCAAATGAACTTGCTGAATGCATGCCAGAGTGATAATCTACAAGAGTACCGTAGGTTCCTGGATATAGGAAGAATTGGCAAGCAGACTTGAAGTGTATAGTAGCATCTTTAGTAGATTAGCTAGCTACCTTAAAAATGCTAAAATAAGGTTCTCTCCAAGCTAAATTAAGTTGTTAATCCTGCAGGTCAGAGTGTTCAAAGCACAGATTGCATGTTTTCTTATAATGCTGAAAGACAAACTTGTACTGTCAGTCCGAGTTTAAGTTTTTCTGGCATAGATTCAGCATCAAATCTTAATGCTCCAAAGGCTCTCAAAACTTGATCACAGCTCAGACAGACCTGCTGGCACAACATTTCTTCAAAGACAATAAACCTAGGTTGAACACCATGTATAAATAATACATTGCATTTAAATAACTTTTATGTGCCATCTGGGTGTTTAAAGGTAATCTGAGCAATGTAACTCATCAAGGGTTAGTCTATCTATTTCATAATATAGTTTCTTTGGAGCAAGTTGTAAAAAGATACCTCTGAGACATACTGTTATGTGCTTACCCTTAACTAAGCAGTGAATCATTTTTCACTGACTTAAGTCTAATACCTATGGAACAGGCAGCTCAAAGGAAGAGCAGGAAAACACAAAGCTGGATTCCAGTTTCCATGGCCCACTACTGTTTATGCATACATAGTTCTAAAGTTTGTTGAATGAGGTAATGTGAAAACATGCCAAATTTTAGGGATGCAAAACTTTTTTAAAATGGCACTGCACCAATATTTCTGAGAAAACAGATGGGGAAGTCTTCTCAATTTAATTATTTTGTTCAACTAAAATTGGAAGCTAAAAATAGGCATGGATGTTAGCTGTCGTCAAGGAGAACGGGTTTTCCCTAGGTGCTTGTAGTTATATCTGAATATAATATGTTTGTATGCCCTAACATTTCTGTCTGCGGCAAAATAAAAATGTTCTCAGTGTTGCAGGATGTGTTCAATTGAACTGAATTGACTTTCATTTATATTCCAACAGCAGTCTCCTTAAGGAGCTTTTGTATACAATAAGGTAAAGATTAAGGGAGAAGCAGTGATGCAAGTGTGCTGGAATAGTGTTTAAGCAGGACTTGCAGTTAATTAGAGAGGAAATCATGCCCCCTTCCAGCAATTTCTGACCTGGAGAGGTGAAGGTTAATGGGCATAATAGTTCAGTTATTGTGCTAATACTATGAAATGTAGCTGGAGACTCTAATCAAGTCAGTGTGACTGCAGCAGTTTGATTGTGAAAACCCAAAAAACTCGGTTTCAAGTATGATAACAGTAAAGTCTCATAATTAAAGAAGTGAATGTCTAAATCTTTAGTTATTATTCATAAAGAATTGGGTTGATTCGATTCATAGCACCAAACTGCAACAGCAGTCCCTTCAAGACACTTGTACTGTAAGGTGAAGACTCTAAAATAATGGGGAGAAAACCCCAACAATCAGATGACCCCTGATGATCAAGCACTTGGCAACAGTGAGAAGGAAAAACTCCATTTTAACAGGAAGGAATAACTGGCAGAAACAGGCTCATGGAGTGGCGGCCATCTGCTGCGACTGATTGGAGGTGAGAGGAGGGAGACAGGCCAAAGACAAACTGTGGACAAGAGCTAGAGATTAATGATAACTAAAGTGTCATAAAATGCTGTGTGAGTCAAGGCAGGATAGGACCTTAATATGCAGGACTCAAATGCAAAACTGAAATCAAAGCATATACACATGAGGAAATCAGGACCGAGAGGACTTTAGGCCTCTTTAGTATATTGGATAAGACCTTCCTTTTGTCTCAGGTAAAGAAAATACACATTGGCTATATCATAACGTACAATAACTTGAGAAAAAGCTGAGGTTGGCTTTCTTTGCTCCAAACGCTCTACAGTATAAGTCCCTTGGGGTATGTGTGAGAAATTAGAATTTTTCTTTTTCCTCTGGTGTCTTTATAATATATATAAGGGTTCTGACCCCAAGATATACTGCAGTTTATCATAAAAGAAATTACTGTTCAGCAGTTTGTGGGAGGCATGTGAGTGGGACTGCTTGTTGATAGCAATACATATATTTTTCCTCAAAGAGAGCTGGCCTTTTGAACAAGCTTCCAACTATGTGTTGCAGCAGGGTTTTGGAAGCATTGGTAGGTATAAATAGCAAATCCAGTCGATTTGTTTATCCAGATGTGACTACCTGGCTAACTTCCTACTCGCAGTGGTGCAGGTCTTGCCTTGCCTCAAAGAAACTGAAGTTGAGATTTGTAAGAGTCTTCTCCTCTTGTGAAATTGTTTCTAGCATATCAGGCCCCCAGGTCATCCCTGCACTCAGTTTTGAAAGGACAAAAATAAACTTTTTACTCTTCAACTTTGTCAGATTCTTTCACAGCCCTATGGGTTTTTTTTTCTAAAAGCATCCAAACAGATCAGGGATTGCTGTTCTTACTCTGGAATCTGACAGGGATATTGTGATAGATGACCTCGGGCAAACAAGATGCCAAAATTGCTAATAAAAAGCACTCTAGAGGGCCATCAAGCAAAAGTCAACTAAAGGTTATCGGAACAAAAGAAAACAGAGGCATCATCCGTTCTCCCTTCTGCTATCACTCACTCTGATCTTATTGACCGGATACTTCAGAAATAAATAAAGAAGCAGTTCAAATGTGAAAAAAATGACTAATAGGACCATTAAACTTCATCAAATGGGAACAAAAAAGGATCTGGATCCCTTGCTGAACAATGTAGTCCAGGTTTTCAGGGCACGTGTTGTTGAATGTTGTCAAACTCTTGTGGAACTTAAGTCCTTCATTTAGGCAATAAGTCTCCAAAGGTTTGCTGATTTTCAGGTGGGGATGGGGTATGACCTGAAGCAAAGATTTATGTGTGAGCTGCTCTGAAGCTCTGCACTGAGAGACTTATTACTTTCATAAATGCAGTGAAAAGAATATGAATATTTAATTACTTTTTTTTTCCTTGTCAAGAATTAGACAGAAGATACAAGTTTTATAACCCCAGTGGGGAAATGGGGTTGCAACAGCACCAAATTATACAACAAAAGAAGCATGTACTAAAAAATAATGCAGGAAAGAAATGTGCTAGTTATGTAAAAAAAAACAAGATGTGATGCCACAGCATACTTACCGTGCTTGGAGATATATCATATTTTTAAGTAGATACAGCTTACCATACTTAACACTATAGTTCAATGCATAAGCATTCTGGCTTGTCAATAATTGGAAATCTAATTATTGGGTAATTTTAAAATTTTGACCGAATGATGATGCTAAAGAAATACATTTATTAAGTTTATTTTGATTAGCAATCAATTGCTCCCTAATTGATATACTGCAGCTACTGTATATAGAGTGCCATAGTGACTACCCACTTTTTTAAGGGCTCTGCATAAAGCCCAGTAATATAGGAATTGACCATTTTTTAAAAAAAAAATAGAAGTCCAAGTCCAACTTGAGTTTCACACACTTTGTTTATTAGAAATTCATTCAAAAGTGTGTTACTTGCTTAAATTGTCATGAACAAATTTGTGTATTTTTCACCAAAAACGTAAAGCTAATTTTTCTTGATTTATTGGGTTAATAGCACTTATATTTATGCCACTTCCAGAATGTAATAATCAATAATCAGAATGTAATAATCAATAATCAGAAATGCCTGTGGTGTTGAGTTAAGATGCACTCTGGATTAGGACTCGGCGATATGTCGAGTTTTTAAATATATCGATATATTTTTATACAAGATATGAGATGTGACAATATCGTTTATATCGATATAGTCTATTGTACGTTATAGCTAGAGATGGCACGATACCACTTCTTTATGTCCGATACCGATATCATAAATTTGGATATCTGCCGATACCGATATGAATCCGATATAGTGTTTTTTAATCAACAAAACTGTTTTTTTAAATATCTTGCTGCATTTTGTATAAGTTCATACTCAAGTTTAAAACAACAACTACACTAAAGCTATTCTGTTATACCTGTATGCAAAAAAAAATATTTCATAGTTCAGCAATACTGAACAATCTAATAAACTTAAACCTACACCATCCTCCCTATTCTGGTATTTTAAAGAGTACTTAGCATAAATATTAAGCAACCTAACTAATAGGGTTCCAACTCCCAGCAACAACAAAAATAAATAAATAAAAAATAGGGAACCACCCCTCACGCGCCACCTCATGATGCTTAATCGACGTAATCAACCTTAATTTGATGCAGTGTGAAAAAAAAAATGCACAGAAATCAATTATTTTTCAAGAAATATTAAATAGATTCAACATCTTTTTTCAACAAAATTGCAGACTGCACAGATGGTACCTTCCCAAAGTAAAAAGTAGTATAGCTTACTAGGGTATATTAGACTTAATAGTTACTATATACAGTAATTGACTTCTATTCATTTTACATCAAATTAAAACTTTGGGTGTAAGAATTGGATAATTATTTATTAAAAGCTTGACATTTTAAATGAGAATAAGAAAGAAAAGTATGTCTTTGTGCCCCCTTTTCCCTGTTAATGCCCTATCGGCCCCCCTGGCTAAACTTTGCTAGATCCGCCCCTGCACAGTTACCAGCCGTCAGCTACGTAGAAAAAGATCCTGGTGTAGAAAGTAATATAAAATAAATTCTAACAACAGCTTATCAAGCTTAAACGTGCTGCTGTTGTTCAGCTGTTGTTTCCTCTTTCTGGTGCAAAGTGGGCCAAAAACAAACAAGAGAGACAAACTC